TGGCAGCACAGCCAGTGCACCGGTGCCGTAACATTCGAGCCCCGAAAATTGCAAGACCGATCTGCCTCCAAACCGTTTGCATCCTAAGACGGCATAAAGACCTTCCTTCCCCAACTCTTTCATGCTCGCTTCGGTGTTTAGGGCAAGCTACTCCCATCCTTGTTATGCTGCACCCCAAAACCTCAAAGCTTTTGCTGCAGCACATTGTTTATGCAGCACCCGACTTCTGGCTGCAAGGAGATGCTCAAGGCAAAAGGAGGCTACTCTGCCACAGAGTTGAGTCTGCCAAATGCTGGGAAGCCGACTGCCAAGGTGACCACGGGTTTGAAATGAGCGCCCGAGACAGAGGCGAGGGCATACGTCTCAGCACATTCAAGCATGGAGGTGTGATTCGGCCAACGTCGATGCGAGCTGGCGATTTGAGACAAGGTTGATGCCCGCCTCAAGAGCATCTGAGAGTCGGGCAAGTGAAAGCAGTGCGGCACCGGTGGAACACGCCGTCGAAAGCACGATCTTTGCCTCCTGGCACGAAGTATAAATGAATTTGAGAAGGAGTCTGTCCGTGACATTATAGCCCCGGCATGAAGCCAGAATGCAAAGATTGTCCCACCCGTGAAAGATTTGACTTTCGCAAGAAGACGTGGCCCCTTTGCCCTGCACCATTGAACACAACTGCAGCTTATCACTTGTGCATCACTGCCTGTTCACCTGGCATCTTCCCGAGGAGACCCAGCCCGCCGACCGTTGGGCCATACATGGCCATACCTGTAGGCTTCAGAATTGAGGAAGGCTTGACCCCTATCTTCTTGCTTCTCTGGCACTGAGGACCGTTCCTGCTAAAGCACTTTTTAAGCAACATAGGCGCGATGCGAGATGCGTGCGACGGTCCTGTGCTGAGTCGTTTGCGGGGCGCTGGTGCTTGGTCTCGGCACCATTGTCTGCAGCATTGCCTGCCACCTGTGACGGTATCTTCGCTGTGCTTCGCTCGACACTTCTCGGAACTGATTCGACTCCGAGTCGACGACGTGCCAAGGCCCACGGAGTCTACAGTCTCTGATGGTAAGCACCATGGCTTAGGTTCCGGCGACGAAGGTAGCACCAATGAGTTCACTTTTTTGATGCTGGCCACCCTGAAAAGTGGGTAGCCTCAAGCGGCTGTGCTCCAGAGCTCTCGCTACTGACTGCCAAAAATCGAGCTCCTCACAAAGGCGAGCGAGTCTTTTGGGTAGACCGAGTTTGCACCTCGTGCAGTCGGAATAAATCTAACATGGACTTGAAAGGAGAAGCCCGCGAGCAAACACGCAGGGCAAGCATGTCGCAACACTTTCCTGACGCCTGCACGTTGCATGATTATTTGGCTATGCCGAAGAGGGAAGCGTGCATGAGTCCAGTCCGTGATCTACATGAACAGAAATCGTCGCACTCCCCAAACACCTGCATCCTAAACGATCCTAACCCCAATCGCCGCCCACAGCACTGAGCTCGTGGCGAGAGCGGAATGATAATCTTCACCCTGCAGCCAGGCAGTGAGGAATTGAGTTCCAACTCAAGTCAACTACCAGAAACTTTCAAGGAATCGCCTTCCGCTGGACGCAACATATGAATCCTAGCAGATTTTCGGCAACAGTGCGCAAGACCATCACAGATGTCCAAAACAAGTGTCGGTATCAGGTGTCCTTCGGGCTCACCCACTCTGGCTCAAACGAGGAAACACGGCAGCCGGTCATACTTCAGGGTGGTGAAGCCGGGTGCATGTTTGAAGAAGCACACCTGCGTTTGCACACATCCGCACAAGCTGCAGATTGCTGGGAAGTGCAGTGTAGCCGCAAACGCTCAAGTTGGTTCCACTAGTCACGAGTGCAACCTCTGTCTTACCTCTCTGCTAGGTAGATAAAACTGGTAATCAGTAGATAGCAGGCTGGAGATGGATTAGGTTTGCCAGGAATAAACGCTTCACGGCAGATTGACGAGCCTTCGAGCCCCGTCTCACATCGCCTCGAGCGTTCAAGACAGGGGCCCGGCTTTCAGGAAATGCCCAGAGGCCCAGGAGTTTCAGGCCCTCTCAGGGATTTCAACTTGTTCGGAGGATTGCGGACACTCCGAAAGTGCTCGTCACGATCAAGACGAGCCTAGTTCTAATTCCTCTCAAGGGAATGAAAGGCGCCCCCGCTCACTTTGACGGAAGCCGCACCCCGGCGCTCAGCCACTCAGCGTCGTCAGAAACTCAAAGAGGACTGGAGCCGGTGGCACCCTTAGCACCAGGTGAAGATGACGGGAAGGGGTCAATGCAAACTGTGAAACGAACGGCAAAGAGAGTTTACAGAGACAGATGGCCTGCACTCTCGCTGTCCGTCACCGACAGCGCTACGAGTACCTCCGCCGAGGCCTGGACCGAGCCAAAGAAGCCGACCAAGGCGGTGGTATTGTCCGTGCTTCCTGGCGCAAAGATCTCTTGCTGCTCCTTCTCCCTCTTTCTGCGGGGCTTGGGGCTTGGGGGACTTCTCTCAGCACCGCCTTCCGCTTCGATAGACGCGATCCACCGCACCCGCACCTCTACGGAGCGCGGCATTGATCAAGAACTCGGGGGCCTGGCGGAACATGCCGCACCCACGAATTAACGGGAAAGCAAACAGCATGCCACTGGAAGTCAAGTTCAAGCATGTGAGCACTTCCTCTCGGAACCTGACCTGTTCCCTGCTCCTGTCATTATTGCTGTCGTTACGATTCGCTGATATGCTGCTGCTTCTCTTTCTTTCCTTCCTCCTCCTCCTCCTCCTCCTCCTCCTCCTCGTCCTCGTCATGCTCGCCATCTGCGTCGCTCTCCTCGTCGTTGGCTTATTCGTGCTCGCTGTCTGCGTAGTCGTGGCCGTCATTGTTGCTTCCTGTGCATGTTGCATCTTTTTCGGATTTACTAAGAATCGGGACGTGCAAGTCCTATCCGACATGCTCTTAGACATTCGAGCTCTTTCGTCTGAGCCTCCCCAGGACACTGCCCTTTGTGCTGTTTGCGATACTTCTGCTACGATATTGCAGTGAAGACGTCAATGGCAAGCGGTTGAAGAGCTGCACTGCTCACTGTGAGTATTGTTCTCTTGTTACTCCAGCCCTAGACCTGAGCAGAAGCCTCGTGCGCTGCGACGACATGGATGCCACATGCCAACGATGACGATCGTGATGATGCTGGTGATGATGATGATGATGATGGTGGTGGTGCTGCTGATGATGATGATGATGATGAGCAGGACCACGACGAGGAGGAGGACGGTGATGACGATGATAATGATGAGGATGATGATAAGGAGGATAATGATGATGTTGATAATGTTCATGATGTAATAATGAGGAGGAGGAGGGTGATGACTCATGCAATGACGATGACCGCAACTCTGACGGTGGTGGTGGTCGTGGTGCTGGTGCTGCTGGTGCTGCTGGTGCTGCTGGTGGTGGTGGCAGAAAAGCTGACGATGCTGTCGTTTCGATCATTTGCACCGTAACCGGCCTCGTCGAGGCTAAAGTCTACTCTCAACACGCCTTGTCCTGCAGGCGCTCGGTGACGCTGTGATCGACCACCGCCCGCGCCTCTCCATCGGTCCTGCGAAAACAACAACGGGTGCAAGAGACATGTCGGTTCATGTTGCTGTCGGCAGTCAGCATAACGCAGGAGCCAACACCGTCATGACATATCATGGTCATCAGCATCAACCTCACGAGCACCATCATCACTCTCGTCCTCACCAGCATTAGCAGCAATATCAGCAACGACACGTCGTCATCATGGCCATGTTTGAACACCATTCAATACCACGATGGCCATGAAGGGTTATGACGTTATGACAGATCACGTCGTCAACCTCAACACCCACCACCGCCACCACCGCCACCACCACCACCACCCACAACAACAACAACGGTCTCGTCATCATCATTGTCGCCAAGATCAACATCGAATAGTGACATGGCAGCAGAAGAAGAAGAAGGAGCCAACTCGAAGCAAGGCTCCTGAGTCCAGCACATCACGTCCCAAAGGCCATCACTGGCAATCACTAACACGGCGTCCTGCACCAAGTTACAGTCTCTCTAGCCACAGACTGAAATCATGACCGCTCCCGTTGCCCCGGCCTGGAGAACTTCGCGTGTGCAGATGTGGGGATGCCAACTCACTCCTCAAGAGGGCCGCGTCAAGCCGGATTCGGGTTGAGGGTAAAGGCGTGTTTAGTGGTTGGGGCTTGCAGGCTTGCCGTCCAGGGGCTCATTCTGTACATCTGCATCTGCATGTATGCATATATGTTAAATACGATACTCTTGCATCAAATGCCTCACTGCAGCTCGTTCTTTTCTGAGTACTGCTGACTGCCATCCTGGTCGTGCTTCATGTTGCTTTGAGTTGGTCCTGATTGCTATAATCGAGCTTTCGATGTGGGGACCGGGCCGAAAGACTTCAGCGAATGGTCGCCCAGGGCCCTGCTGACGGCAAGTTGGCCTGGGCAGCAGATGGCAGCAGAGCCGCGGGCAATGCCGGCAATTCTTGTGGCAAGTACAGTAGCACGGGCACCGACAAGAAAATCAGGGAAAAACCCAAAAGGACAAAAGCCGGTCGAGGCTGAGCTCCCGCTGAGGCAGCTTCCGACCACCCGGCCCCGCGCCACGAAGCCGCCTACGAGTACCCAATGAAATGCTGGAGCAGAGGTGTGGATAATACTCAGCGGGATCTCGACTCTCCAATCTTCAGCTTCTGGGGCACACGGTCCCTGGAGCCTTCGGCTTCCACCCGCTTCATTTCAGCATGGTCAGTCGGCCTGGTAGGCTCGCGAACTGCAGCGATTGATGCTTTGGGGAGGCGGCCGCGCCTGTGATCCCGGGTGAGCCGGCACTCGCCTCAAGAGAGCTAGCCGAGGCTGAGCCACCCACTTCTCTCTCTCTCTCTCTGTTCCGCTCTTTCGAGCGCCCGACTGCCGGACTCCAGGACGATGGCCCGCAAGGCGGTGGCTTGCCGCAAGCTTTCACAGGTCTCTAAGAACCCCCACGTGGAGACGCAGCCTAGCAGCCGTGCGATGTGATAGCACCTCCGACCGGACTCAAAAATCAATGTGAGATCACGGATCAACTGGAGAACCCGTCGTGCTGTCACGGCAGAGCCGAGCGCCACGGTGGCCGTGCAGCCGCATTGCCAAGTTGCAGGGCCCAGCAGCCTTGGACGGCTTTCGAAAGCACACGAGAGGAAAGCTCGGGCCACGTCCGAGGGCGGGGCTTCAGCTGCTCATCAACTCGGCGGAAGGCCCTGCAGAGACAAACAAAAGCGCTGCAACGGCACACAGCTCCAGCAGAACAGGCCGTGAAAGAAACGGGTCCGTGCACCTGGTGAGCACCCCGGCGACCACCGCATCAGTCACGGGCCCTGCCCTGTCAAAGGACGCTTACGAAGCAGTAGAGGCGGAGGACAGGGCCCTTGCCTTGTGACCCTCACCAGCTCGTCGAGGACGAGGATGTGCAGCTGCGCCTGCAATCCAAGGAGACGGCGATCCCAAAAAGCAATCTGCAGCACTTGGAAGACACTCGCAGCAGGCCTTGACAGCGTCCACCGCCTCGGACCCGCCGTGGCCATCGTACACGGCGAAGTAGCCCCAGGCATCACCATTCGGCTCCACCTCAAGACGCCCGGAATCGAAGTCTACGACCTTTCCGAAAGGCGGTGAGCCCAAGACCAGAAAGGGGTCGATGATCACGGACCTGTCCTTCGAAAACGAGCCGGAACAAGCCGCCCTGCTCCTCGTCCTCCCGCAGCTCCTCGTGATAGGCCCGGAAGGTGGCGTTCGCTTCGGAAGCGGCCCTGTCCGTGCTACTCCACGAGCTGAACTCGAAACAAAGCAGTGGAACAGGACGAAGCTGGCCACTCGGCCCGGCCTGCTTAGGCTGGAAGTGGATCTGGGTACCTGGGAACGACATAGCAACGATGGCCAAAACACCGTCCCCGTCTACGGCACCGGGGCGACTGCTTTCCTGGGTGGGTTTGGCCTGGCCGGGAAGACCTAACGCCCAGCGGGCTGCACAACGACCGTCCCAGCAACCCCACGAAAAGACGGCCCCTCGCTGTCGCCCTCGACATCGAAAGCACCGAGGCGACCACGTTACCGAGGAGCACAGGTCCCGCAGGTGCCACCTGCGGCTCAAGCACCGCAGCATCTGCCGAACAAAAAAAAGAACGGCCTGAAACCCCAAGACTAACCTAAAGCATCGACCGCAGGGTCTCTGAGACCCGCAGGACGCTCACCAAGTCCCCGACCCACACGCGAGCAACCTGCTGGGAGAAGCACTTCGGGCCCAACTGAGTCTCACATGGTCTGAAAGGTATAGCCATATAGCCAATTGTCGCGATGAATGTATGACTAATTCTGCAGCCTGGATGTGTCACATCCTTGGATTCGGGAGTTACGCCCAGCTGATTCTTCAGTGGCTGAAGGCGTTGAGTGGGGGTTGTGGGGTGCGGCTACATAGATTGATGCTACAATTCTCTCCGTTCTCGTCTCGCACATGCACTTACACTGCCGGTCCAGGGGTTTTTGAATGCTGGCGACATGGCATCTTGGGGCAAATGTAGTAAAATGTACAATACCGTGCTTACCGGAGGACGCGGACACGCGGGTAGGATGTCAAATCCGAGAACGAATCCTAACGGCATGACGTGCGCAGTGTCGTTTGGCACGATCAAACACGTCGGCGGCACGAGTGGGTTGTGACATCCGAGCATGCATCGACACTGCACCGCACGCACAGCGCCGTCGTAGGCTGAGCAGTGATCCCCGATCGCCCCGTGCTTTCAAATAATCAACATATATTTTACAGATACATACATACATACATATATATATATATATGGGTATGTGTAGGTAGGTAGATACATAGATAGCTAGCTGAATGGATGCATGACTAGGAAACGACACGAGAATCTCACATCATGCAATGCATCAACCTGGACCTCAACCGTGCCATCGAAGATTGCGCGATCCATCCAACATCACTCCATCCTACGACCTCGTGAAAAACAACTTTCTCCACGCTGCCGGGACACCACTTCCTTCGTGCACTCCTCGTCTGGGTTGGTGCACCTGGCATGCAGGTCAAACACGTAATGCCTCGGCATCAGAACTCAGAACAGAATCACCTGGACTACAAGAGGCTTTCACTCAGCAAGTGCTCACACGCACCCGCTACTGACAAGTAGTACCAAACCACAGCAGCGAGCCGAGTGAACTCTAGCGCAACGAATCACGCACAATCACGCCATGCCGACCCGCATGTCGACAAAAGATCTCCCATCGCCGCAAAAGGCAATTGCACTAGATTTCGGTTGTGTCGTACATGGTTCTACCACATCACTCCGCGAATGGCTCGGTCAATTCGGTGTTCGAATCTCGCTGCCTGTAGTGAGCCACTTCGTGTCTGCGAGCAGGCAGTGGCTCTGGAGTCACTTGCACAACTCCGTTGTTGCCGCACTTGGGGTTCAGTGGAAGACACATGACGCACCGCTTTTTTCTCTACTCGATCGCCTGACGCACACTGAGGATCAGTGCGGGCTACGGGTCGTGCTGAGCCTTCTTGTCCCTCGGCTCTAGGATGAGAAGCCCACCGCTCCGGTCACAGCAACAAGAAACCGCTCCAAGCACAACATTAACTCGGCAACTCCGAGAGAAATATTTGCCACTCCGTCCACCGGCTTCGGAAGACATGGCTGTTTCTCGTCGAAAACAGCATGACTCTCAGGGCCCGGCGGGGCAAAGCAGCAGTCGCAGTCGCAGCGGCCAGAAACCGGATTGGCGATTGTAGCCTCATCAGCAGTCATGAGAACACAGACGAAACATGACTGCTGGTGCACAGTGTCGGTCATGCCTGGCCCAGACGCGTGTGAGTACAGAGTGACAACCAGAAGGACTGGGAGGTGCTTGCATCCACCCATCCACTCCACCGTCACTGCCACATAGAATGCTTTGGGCACTTTCTTCCCATGCTGGGGTACTAGTGGGGACTTCGACACCAACGAGCCTCCGAGGACTCCGAGGCTTCAAGAAGGCGACGGGCCTGGGAGAAGTGAAATCAAGAGAGCTCTCTTTCCTGACCGAGCTCAGGGGCTCAGTCGAGGAGGTGTCACGACGCGAGACACACAAGGCAGCAAGGCAGGTTCCATGTGCTGCTCTTCTAGCCGTACTCACAGATTACTCACAGCGCCAGGGCACCGAAGAAACGAGCACAGCAAGGACTATTCTGAGCCCCTGAATCTCTTTTAAAGGAAGATGCCGTTGTTTGTCCTGTTTGTGCCACCAGGAGCAGTCTTACGAACATGCTTGCATGCATGACCTGGAGGTCACATTCTCGGTGGATGCTGGTAACTTTCAGCAATGCGCAGACCGTGTCTGCAATGCATAGGCATAGGTGTTTTACACATGGGACTTGGGACAGTCTTCGTTTCACCTTTGCCCTGGAAGTGTCTAAGCTAAACTTTAGTCATGACATCTGCCGAATGTGTTTGCAGAATGGAATCCTGCCGATTTGCAGCGCTGCAGACAGAGAGCAATGAGTGGCCTGCACGAAAGGGAAATGGGCAGAACACTGTTTCAAAGGGCTTCCACGTTGTCGCTGAGGGTTCTGGAGCAAAGTTCTTGAGGGGGTCTCCACTGATGGGGCGCAGCCCCCCTAGAACGGGCCGAAAACCCAACGAGATACCTCACCTGGGTGGCATCGCGGAAGCTGCTGGGAAGAAGCTTGGTGCATCATGTGCGTCATGCCATGACTGTCTTCCGTTAACCACTTTATCTATGGAATGCTCAATATCGCATCTTGGCCTGATTCAGTGCCTACTGGCTGGGTGCTCCTTCTCAGCGCAGTGATGGGAATCGGTGATCTCGATCAGTATGTTTGAGCTCTGACCTGATTCTGATATCAAGCGTGTATCTTTTTGCCTTGCTTTTTTCATGGTGCCACGTTTGCTTCTCTTGCTCTTCTCTCTTCTCGCGCTTCGGCTCTCGCGTCGCCTGTTTGGGTGCTTCTTGCTTCCTCTCAGTGCTTTGGGAGGGTTGTCAGAGACAGGTGCCTCCAACTAAGCCAGAGAATGAGCTCGACCCTTCAATCCGCATGAATGTGAAGTGCGAAAGAGCATATCACAGCTCAAGCCAAGAACTTCACAGTACTTTTTACCAGGCTTCTTTGTCAATTTTTCTCTAAGTCAAAGCCTTCACAAACCGGCCCCCCCGAACTCCAAAAACCCGCGGAGGAGCCCTGAGGAGCCGGGGGCCTCCGGCAGCTCCGGGCCTCCGCCGCCATCCGAGGCCGAGTCCCCTTGCGGCAGAGCCAGGAGAGTTGGGAGGAAAGGGAAGAGTGGGAAGAGTGGGAGAGGAGAGAAGACAAAACGCCCAGCCACTGTGGAAAAAGAGCTGGAATAGACAAATCAAGCGCAAGCAAACCCTTCTCAACACAAAAAGCTCAACGCCTAACCTCGCAAGCTTGATGCCGCCCCTTCACGCGGCGATATGTGGTGGTCGCCTTGCGATCAGAAGGATCGCCCGCGTGAGACGCGGGAAAGCGGGATCTAGGATAAGCGGGATCAGCGAGGAGTTCCGCGATGGGGGATGATGGAGATAAGTGGTGGGGGAAGTCGCCAGCGTTCAGGGGCTACTTGTCTCACTTAAACGGTCCACATCGGCATGCTTCTGACCCAGTCCTTCGTGAGGAAACAGTAAGCGCCCGACATGGCACGCAGAATCGTCGCCTCGTCCACGCCGAGGCTTTGCCTGGTGCAGCATGGAAACAACGGGTAACTCATGTGAAGCAGGAGCCGTTCTCCATGTGTTTTCCCCTCCGTCCTTAACCCAAGTTCTACCTAAGCCTTCTGCCGCCGAGTCACAAAATGCCTGATTCTGAGAACCATCGCAGTGAACTGGAAGTTAAAATTTTTGTACACCAGAAGCCTCAACTTTGCTGGAGACCCATGGCACCAACTGTTTTCGATTATATGAAGACGGCCTACTCCAACGGCCCAGCAAGGGCTCTTTGTTCTCTTCCCGCAAGAATGCAAAAAACAAGCCTTTTATCAACAAGGATGTTGTAAGCCATGTCATCGTGAAGGTCAGGAAATCCCCTACCACCAGAAAAGACAAGAGCATCATGTCACCTTGAGGCCGACGACAGCGATACATCCGGAGGATTGACGCCTGATGCGGGTACGATTTGAGGGCAGATCGACGGCTCCCCAAATCTACCAGAAGCACATGGAAGCCACAAAGTTTCAGCAGTCAGGAACTTGCAAGCTCTACGCTTTGAGGACCTAGAGTGGCAAGAGTGTCAATGCTTCTCCCAATCAGCAGAAAACCTGCCATGCCCAATGTCCAAGCAACACTGAAGAACAGAATTAAGAGACGAAGTAATGTGCACTTACGTGCACACCATGCTGAATTCGTTGGCGCATCTCACGGCGTCACATATTCATGCAGGTGTACAACCACGTGGCTCGTTTGGTCATCTCCGGCCGGTGAGCAGAGCCTACTGGATCATTGGTAGCTTCAACCGAATCCGCAGCCAGAGCAATCCTCAGATCCCTTAGCCCGGAGGGCTCATAAAGAATGTAGCATCGCAGGGATTTGGGCAGATTACCACCAGAAACTGAAGGTTCACCGTAACGAGATCAGGATTTCGGGCGTGAGGGTCTTACGGCTATCATGCAACATCGCAGTTATGCAAGTGCGAACGGCGGGATGGGACTGAAACTCTAGAATGGGTGCTTCTACCTGTATGTAGCCATTGGGTTACCCTAAACCTCTTTTCCAAGACTCGGGCTCGGAAGGACTCGCCTCGAAGGTGGTGCCTCGGCTGTTCCGGGGCTTTAGCGTTTGATATGGCCTGCAGGACATGTGCAGCTGTGGGAGTTGAGGCGCGCTCGAAGCTTGCAAGCTTCCGAAGTCAGGATACACTATCCCGATCACTCCTTCTGCCTTGTGTTCGCGGCTTCAAGCATGCAGCATGTCATGTGAGAAGACACGCTGGTTGACACAAGCCCTGGTTCAAAAACAGGAGCCCTTGGGGCAGATCTTCCTGTCAAGATTTCGCCGTGGAGCTGCTGTGACATCCTGGAGTCTTCTTGTAGGCATCGGGTTGGGTAGGGCGGGAATCTTCCCAGGAAGTTCTCTTCTATGTCCTAGGTCAACTTGTGCTCGAAACGCTCAGCTACCGAGCACGACAGCACACAGGAGCTGGCCTCGTGTGCAGCTCACCGCTCAGCAGCTGCGCAGTCCAGTGCTAGAGCTTCGACAGTTCCGTTTTTGTCCTTCGTGGGTTCAGGTCGGGTTTAGCTCGGGGTCCATCTGTCACATGATGGTGTCCAGTCCGGGTCAGCTCTAGCTGCAGGTATAGACACGCACAGACACGCAGAGAGAGAGAGAGAGCTCATGAATCTTCGGGGGCTCGCTCCCAATGCTAGAAACCTTCGGCAGCCCAAAGAAGAGACTTGGGCGGGTCCCCTCATGCCAAAAGAAAAGCCCCTCCCCCTCCTCCCCGTCCCCTCCTGAAAACGAAAGCCAAAGAGAAACCCTTCTTGCGGTAGCCCTGCCCAGAGCTGGGGCCTGGGCCAGGCCGAGCTCTCTGCAGCCGTAAAACGCGACCTCCCCTCCGCTTATCATTGAACTCCGAGCTGTACTAGCGGGTGCCAGGGCCCCCCTACGCCGTCTTTGTCGTATCTCCTATATGTTTGGCGGTGCCGGGGCGCTACATGCTGTCGCGGGCTTGCTGCAGCATTGCTGACGAGATTGCCGCTTCCATCGATCCCAAGTTTGAGGTGGCTTGGTCAACGTGCAAGGCGCCGCACGGAGCCCAAGCCTTCCGAGAGTCAGACCCCCGACTCACCGACACGGATTAGGCTGATAGCTTCGAGTAGGAAGACCGAGGAAGGAGAAGAAGTCCGGCAAACCCGTCAAAGGATGCCGGACGTGCTGCCTCCTCCAGTTTTGTCAGATGAGGAGGGGCCGGTGGATATGCTGCCTCCGCCAGTTCTATCAGACGCAGAGAGCGCACTGCAGCCTTTGAAGAAGTCGCCGTCATCGGTGCGGCCAGGCAGCAGGAGATCAGTGCAGGGCAGCACAGCTTCCAGCACAGGCGCAACCCGCTACCGGAGTACGGCGACTGTGTCATGGAGATGTTCTGTCCTCCTAGGCTTGTGCCAGCGGCCCGAGAGCGTATCATGCAAGCGCAGTTTTCGCTAGACAGGGAAGCTGACCCAAGCTGGGATTGCGATCGTTTCTTAGACAGGGAGTATGCCAGAGGTCTGTTGGAGAGAT